CCATTTCTTCCCCAAATTGTTGGTAAGTGATTCTAAACCATTTTCTTTCAATTACCCATTACATTTCTTGAATTTTCAACCAAAACTCTAGAGTTTTCACGGTATAATTAGGGGTTAGGGTAGAAACTAGGGATTTCGGGAATTTGAGGATTTAGACCCCAATTCGAGGTCGGATTCCAAAACTAATTACATATTCGGGCTCGGGGGTGAATGAGTAAGAGGATTTTGGTCCGAACCTCGAGTTTTGACCAAGTGGGCCCGGGTCGATTTTTCGACTTTTTGGAGGAAAATTTGGGAAATTTAAATTTATGAAATATAATTGATTCCTTTAGCAATATTTGATATTATTGAGTCATTTTTGAATAGATACGAGTGGCTTGGAGGTGAATTCCAAAAGAAAAGCTATGATTGAGAATTAAGTGGCCTTCGGAGCAAGGTAAGGGTCGTGTCTAACTTTGGTTTGAGGGAATAGGTATTGTGTGAGTATTTGCTACGTGTTTTGTTGTTGAATATAATGTATAGTTGAGGTGACGAGCATCTATGCGTTGTAGTCGAGTCATAACATGCGAGTGAAATTTTATTCTTGCAAATTTGTAGTCTTAAATCTTGTTATCCATGCTTATTGTTGTTGTTGAAATGTTGAGAGACTTGTATCCGGTTCCACCAAGGTTGATAAAATTGTGAATATTGATTCAAGGTTGAAATGTTAAATTGTGAAAGTAATCATTGATAAAATATTGATTTCTTTGTGAAACTTCTCTTTATCCGTTGTTAATGATTCTGTGAATTGTGAGGAAGAGTGTAAAGCACGAAGGGTGATGCCGTGCATGATTTATTTATATTGTGAGGAAGAGTGTAAAGCACGAAGGGTGATGCCGTGCATGATTTATTTATATTGTGATAAAGAGTGTAAAGCACGAAAGGTGATGCCATGCATGAATTATTTATATTGTGAGGAAGAGAGTAAAAGTACGAAGGGTGATGTCGTGCACTCTTATTTATTATTTGGTGAGGTTGAGAGTAAAAGCACAAAGGGTGATGCCGTGCAGTTTTTCTTGCTGTTTTAATTGCTCAATTCGTTTAAGGATTTTCGGTTTAATTCTGTCTTTTCATTATTCTCACTCTTTATGTTGTATTCCCCCACTGTATGTTCCCTTCCCATTATTTCCATGTCATTTCTTTATTTAGTGTTGGTTCCACTAGCAGGATTATATTGTTCAGGTTATATGTGGTGTGGGTGTCTTGTCCTAGCCTCGTCACTACTTCGCCGAGGTTAGGCTCGACACTTACCAGTACATGGGGTCGGTTGTAATGATGCTACACTCTGCACTTTCTGTGCAGATTTTGATACCGGCTCAGGTTGATCGAGATTCGCTACTGATCCGCTGTCCGGAGACTCAAGGTAGATCTGTCGGCGTTCACAGACCTTGAAATCCCCTTCTATCTTTTATGTCCTACTGTTTTCTTTCATTCAGACAGTTATATTTCTTTCAGACTATTACTTGTAGTAAATTCTAGAATTCTCGTGAATTGTGACTCCAGATCCAGGCGGTAGTAATTAATACAGTTTTATGATATTCCGCACTTATTATATTTCATCTTAGTTAATTATAGTTATTTACTGAATGAAAATAAGGAATTGGTTTAACGATTTTTCTAACGTTGGCTTGCCTAGCAAGTGAAATGTTAGGCGCCATCACGGTCCCGTCGGTGAAAATTTTTGGATCGTGACATTCCCACTACGCAGGTGCGATTACACCAGCAGTGGAAAACCTTCAGCAAGCCTACAACTTCAAAACTTGATCCGTTAGCCACCCGAAATCAACCTGAAGCCTCCCGGGACCTCTCAACCAAACATACAGATAAGTCTTATATCCTAATACGAACTTAGTCGAACTCTCAAATCACCTCAAACAACATCAAAAACACGAATTACACAAGGATTCAAGCTTAATGAATTTCGAAATTTTCAAATTCTACAAATGACGCTGAAACCTATTAAACGGAATCGGAATCCACTGCAACTTCTGGAACTCCAAATCACAATCCGGACACGTTTCTAAGTCCAGAATCACCCAACGGAGCTAACGGAAACATCAAAATTTCAATCCGAGGTCGTTTACATATAAGTCCACATCCGGTCAACTTTTCCAACTTAAGCTTTCAATTAAGAGACTAAGTGTCTCAATTCACTCTGAATTCTCTCCGAACCCGAACCAACTAACCCGACAAGTCATAAAGCAACAGTGAAGTACAAAAATGAACAGAAAAAGAGGAACGTGGCTACGACTCTCGAAACGGTCGGTCGGGTCGTTACATTTCCACCTGCAATGTTTTACGTCCTCCAGGAGAAAACCCACAAAAAGGTTATTCAGTTTGGTCTAATAACTATCATCCTTGGACCTAGTAAATAGTAATATATCACAAAACTTCACAAGGAATATTTCATAAATCATAATCGATGTAAGAAACTACTTTCTTGAGAATGACACTAATTCATATTGTATCCACATATGTTTTTTTGTATTCAAGTTCTGTTGATTTTTCGTGAGATGCTTCCAAGCAGTACAAATTCGTCATTGTTTTTTGAGAATTAGCATCTGGAATCACATGGCTAGCACTGTTAGAAAGTTAATCATAGTCCTTCCAATTCCTTATCTATGTCCTATAATCCTACATCAAATTTGTTTAGCAACATACACCATATCAATGAATGAACAAGTTGTAGATGGTCACACTGTAGTTTCAGCAGGAGGTATCTTTGAGCTTGGATTCTTCAGTCCTAATGGATCCCAAGGGCGATATGTAGGGATATAGTACAAAGGATTACCAACTGAAAAAGTTGCATGGGTTGCAAACCGTGCGAGAGACCATTAATTGGATCAAATGGAGTTCTTATGATTGCAAGCGGATGGCAATTTGGTCCTTGTGGATCATGATAAAAAACAAATATGACAGTGTTCTGGTCTACACAAGTTAGTTTAACGTCCAACAACACCATTATTAAGGCAATCTTGTTCTTCAGGAGAACAAGTTGAATGAACCAGTAGTGTTATGGGAGCGCTTCAATCATCCATCCGACACGCTCTTGCTTCGTATGAAGATGGGGCTGAATACTAGAACAGAGAAACAAATAATTGTTACATCTTGTAAAGATGATAACAATCCATCATTGGGAAGTTCTACCATCGCATTGCAGCTGGATCCTCAGAAACTTGTACAAGTTATCATTTTAAATGGCTCGTCGAAGCATTTTCGATTAGGACAGTGGAATCGGGGAAGTTTCATAGGAGTGCCTAGCATGACTAAAGACTACAACAATGGCTTTCAACAACTTACGAATAATAAAGGGGAGACGCTTCATTTTTCTTATGGTATACTCAGTTACTCTTCTCCAACATTGATATACTTAGATTCCTGGGGAGCAAGGATTGGGATGCAGAAAATAACAAATGGTTAAAGATGCAGGTAGTACCTAAAGGTAAATGTGACTTGTATAACACATGTGGGCCTTCTGGAAGTTGCAAGAATAATGATTCACCAATAGCAGATGTTTCAAGGGTTATGAACCAAAGTCTATGAGTGAATGAAAAAGGGGAATTGGTGTTAGAAATATACTTTAGAAGTTGCTCTCAGTAAAATTATTTTACTGCTTCAGCTTAAGAGTTATTTACTGCAGTAACTTTGTTTGAATTTTGAATTAGTCTTTAGGAGTGAACTAGTCTCTAAGAGTTTGTTATTTTCAGCAGGTTTTGTGCTGAATTTTAGATCTTTTAAGTTAGTATTTCTCTTATAAATTATAGTCCAAATGCAGTGAAATAAAATAAAATCTTCCCCTGTTATTTCCCTTAGTTTTTTTTTTTTTATCAAGAACCAACAATTGGTATCAAGAGACATTTTTTTAAGGGACCTAAGTAAAATCTTTTCTTGAGTGAGATGGAGACTGAAACGAGTTTTTCTCAATTGGCTCCTCCAGTCTTTGATGATGAAAATTACCAATTGTGGGCAGTGAGAAATGAGACTTACTTGGAGGCTTTAGATCTTTGGGATGCCGTGGAAGAGGATTATGATGTTCTTCCGCTGCCTAACAATCTCACTGTGGCCCAGATCAAGAGTCACAAGGAAAAGAAAATCAGGAAATCAAAGGCGAAAGCAACTTTATTTGCTGGTGTGTCTGCAACAATTTTCACGAGAGTTATGGCTCTCAAATCAGCAAAAGAAATTTGGGATTATCTAAAGGAAGAATATACAGGAGATGAAAGAATACGAGGCACGAAGGTATTGAATTTAATAAGGGAATTCGAGTTGCAGAAAATGAAAGCATCTGAGACCGTCAAAGAATACTCAGATCGGTTGCTTGGCATTGTTAACAAGGTAAGGTTGCTTGGTACTAAATTTAAAGATTCAAGAATTGTTGAAAACATTCTTGTTACGGTGCTTGAAAAATACGAAGTATCCATAACTACCTTGGAAAATACAAAGGATCTATCAAAGATTACCTTGGCAGAATTGTTAAATACATTGCAGGCACAAGAGCAAGGGAAGCTTATGAGGCAAGATGGTATGGTTGAAGGAGCCTTGGAAGCCAACCACAAAATTCAAAGCAAGGGTAATAATGCAAAGAAAAATTACCCACCTTGCCAGCAATGTGGCAACAAAGGTCATCCACCGTTCAAATGTTGGAAGAGGCCAGATGCAAAGTACAAAATTTACAACCAAATTGGTCATGAAGCTGTAATTTGCAAAGCCAAATATCAAAAGCATGAAGTAGATGCCCAAGTCGTCAATGAAGAAGAAGAAGATCACTTGTTTGTGGCAACTTTTCTTTAAACCAAAAAATCTGAACTTTGGTTGATTGATAGTGGTTGTACAAACCACATGACATATGACATAAATCTTTTCAAAGAGTTCACGTCTATGGGAAATAAGAAAGTCCGAATTGGGAATGGTGATTATATTCTTGCTAAAGGAAAAGGAACTATTGCAATCGCAACAAATTCAGGTACTAAGCAAATTTCAAATGTTCTTTATGTTCCTGATATTGAGCAAAATTTATTGAGTGTTGAACAACTAATGAAAAAAGGATTTAAAGTATCCTTTGAAGATAAACATTGTTTCATTTATGATGCAAGAGGACTTGAGATTTTAAGGGTTAAAATGAGAGGTAAAAACTTCTCATTTGATCCAACAGAAGATGAAAAATGGAGCCAAAAGAATCTACAAAGTGCAGATAATCCTCCAACTGAGGACATATGTGAAAATGAGGCAAAGAAGAAGTTGTCAACATTTCAGAGAAACAAAATATGGAAGAAAGTTGACAAGCCTCAAGGCAAAATACAAATCTGGAAAAAAGTTGACAAACCTCAAGGTAAGATGCAAATGAAGCCGAAAAAAGAGCCAACTTATTTCATTGACAAACATGAGATGCCACAAAATAGAAAACTCAATTTACTACAAGTCCAAAGATCAGTTGGCAGATTTACGTACAAAGTCGATTCCAATTAAAGGTTTACAAGGCATAAATTTAGAATTTGCAGCTTCAAAAGCAAGGAATGTTAGAAGTATGCTTTAGAAGTTGCTCTCAGTAAAATTATTTTATTGCTTCAGCTTAAGAGTTATTTACAGCAGTAATTTAGTTTGAATTTTAAATAATTTTGAACTAGTCTTTAGGAGTGAACTAGTCTCTAGGAGTTTGTTATTTTCAGCAGATTTTGTGCTGATTTTTAGGTCTTTTAAGTTAGTATTTCTCTTATAAATTGTAGTCCAGATGCAGTGAAATATAATAGAATTTTCAGTTATGTTACCTTCTAAAAAAAATAGAAGTTTCAGTTAGAGTTCCTTTTACATCTATTACAATATACTGCTTTTATTTTTCTGTCATCTTCCCCTATTATTTCCCTTAGTTTCTTTTATCAAAAACCAACAATTGGACTAATGGTTATGTTTGGAGAGCAAAATTCCAGTGGGAGGAGACAAGTCCAAATTCTGATGATGATGAGAGGAAGAGGGATGTATTTTTACCAGTTTTAGGGATGAAACTACCAGATTTCTCACATTACCTACTTACTTGGGATAAAATGGAATGCCAAGATTCTTGCTTGAAGAATTGTTCTTGTTTGGCACATGCTTATGTGGATGGAATAAGCTGCATGATTTGGGGAAAAGATCTGATTGATCTCCAAGAGTTCTCCCATGGTGGAGAGCGACTATACATTCGGCTGACACATTCCCAACTTGGTAAATACACTAATCTTCTCTATAACATCTCATTCTATTAATACTTGAACGAAACTTTCAATTCATTTTGGATTTGGTTTGTCATCTTTCCTTTTTCCTCTCTATATTTTCTATGAACACGGAGTACGGTGGTCAAGACCCAAATTAATTATCTACTTCTTAGGAGGTGTGATAGAGGTTTATGCACGAATTGCAAGGTCATCCCGAGTGAGAATCTACTCAACATAGGCTAATGGTTATGGACTTGGTGATCATGCGGACAAGGAAAAAGAGGGTTGTGTTTGGTCTATTTAGGATAGGTGGGATGCCTTGACTAAGGACAAAGCTCAGGAGTTGGGGGAGAAGTTACTGGCTATGGGGGCCTAGAGGAGCAGTGGAGACGCGAGATGTATGTGGACCACGACATCAAACTGTATTAGAGAAGCTGCGAGAGAGGTGTCAGGGGTCTCGAAGGATTTCTCTGGTGGCCGCAAAGGGAATTGGTGGTGGAATGAAGAGGTCCAAGGCAAAGTAAAAGCCAAGAAAGCGGTGCATTTGAAGCTAGTAGAGAGCATGGACGAGCTGGAAAGAGGATCCAACAAAGAGTGGTATAAGAAGTCTAAGAATGAGGCAAAGTTAACGGTTACTACGGCTAAGACTGTGGCGTTTGGACATTTGTATGAAGAGCTTGGGAGAAAGGCGGGGATAAGAAGTTGTATAGGCTGGCCAAAGTGAGAGAAATGAAGGCCCATGATCTGGATTAAGTGAATTGCTAAAGACGAGGAGCGTAGATTTCTGATGGATAAGGCACATATCAGGCGGAGGTGGCAATCATACTTCCATAAACTCTTGGATAAAAGGGGGATAGGAACATTTTGCTGGGTGATTTGGAGCACTCCGGGAGTCATCGAGACTTTGGATACTGTAGGCACATAAGAGTGGGGGAGGTCGAGGGGGTGATGCATAACATGAGCAGGGGTAGAGCAACCTGGCCAAACAAAATCCCGGTAGTATTATGGAAAAGTGCGGGTAAGGTAGACTTGAAATGACTCTCTTGGTTGTTTAATGTCATTTTTAGGACGAAGAAGATGCCTAAGAGTGGAAGTGGAGTACGATGATTCCGTTGTACAAGAAGAAGGGTGATATCCACAATTACAACAACTATAGGGGTATCAAGCTGCTAAGTCATACAACGAAAGTTTGGGAGAGGGTGATGGAAGGGAGGGTGAGGAGGACTGTGTCTATTTCCGAGAACTAGTTCGGTTCATGTCGGGTCGTTCGATTACGGAAGCCATTCATCTGGTGAGGAGAATGGTGGAGTAGTACAGGATAATGAAGAAGGCCTTGCATATGGTGTTCATTGACCTAGAGAAAGTATAGGATAAAGTACCGAGAGAAGTTCTATGGAGGTGCTTAGAGGCTAAAAGTGTTCCTATAGCCTACATTAGAGTGATTAAGGACATGTATGATGGAGCTAAGACACAAGCGAGGACAGCGGGAGGAGACTCAGAACACTTCCCGATTGTGATGAGGTTGCATTAGGGATAAGCCTACACGATACACTCGAGGGGAGGTACTATGGTGTATGTTATTTGCGGATGATGAGTTCGGATTGACAAGATGCAGGTGGCTGAACTAAAGGCTGGGGGTTTAGAGACAGACTCTTGAGTCTAAAGGCTTCAAGCTGAGCAGGACCAAGACGGAGTACTTGGAGTGCAAGTTTAGCGAAGTTACCTAGGAAGCGGACATAGATGTGAGGCTTGATACACAAGTCATCCCCAGGAGAGAAAGTTTCAAGTACCTTGGGTCTATAATACAAGGTGATGGGGAGATTGATGAGGATGTCACGCATCGTATCGGTGCAGGATGGATGAAATGGAGGCTCGCTTTCGAAGTCTTGTGTGATAAGAATGTGCCACTAAAACTTAAAGATAAGTTCTACAAGGTAGTGATTAGACCGACTATGTTATATGGGGCAAAGTGTTGGCTGGTCAAGAACTCTCATGTCCAGAAGATGAAAGTAACTGAAATGAGGATATTGAGGTGGATGTGTGGGCATATCAGGTTAGATAAGGTTAAGAATAATATTCGAGATAAGGTGGGAGTGGCCCCGCGGAGGATAAGATGCGAGAAGCGAGGTTGAGATGGTTCGGGCATATTAAGAGGAGAAGCATAGAAGCTCCAGTTAGGATGTGTGAGAGGTTAACCTTGGTGGATATCAAGAAGGGTAGAGATAGGCCTAAGAAGTCTCGGGAAGAGGTGATTAGGCAGGACATGGCACAACTCGAGCTTACTAAGGACATGACCCTTGATAGGAGGGTGTGAAGGTTGAGGATTAGGGTAGAAGATTAGTAGGTAGTCGAGCATTCCTCAGTTCGATAGCATTAGTGTTAGTATGATATCTTTTTATTCATAGATTGCTATTACTACCTAGCTTTTAACTGTTATCTTGGCTTCGGTTTTCTTTCTATCTTATTGTTGTTCCTACTTGTTGTCATTCTTTTTAATCTCTCTCTTTAGCCAAGGGTCTATCGGAAATAGCCTCTCTGCCCTTGCAGGGTAGGAGTAAGGTTGCGTACATCTTACTCTCCCCAAACTCCACTTATGGGAACTCACTATTTTTTTATTTTGTTGTTGTTGTTGTTGTTGTTGTTGTTTTCTACACGAAGGTTAGTAGTCTGCCTATGTTATCCATCTCTAATCATTTGATGGATTCATTCTAGATTTTTTTAAATGATAATGGTGTATGAGCCAACTAGCGCACACTTAAACTATTTCACCAGGTACTTGTTAACTCTCACCAGCACAAATATCAGGAAATTCTCTTTCCTCTACTGGAATTTGAACCTGAGACATCATTTTTTGTTTCATCACATTTAGGCTTCATGTTTTATTTTTATTTTTTTATATCAAGTTGCCTTTTGTCATGCAGATAAGAGGAGGCAAATGGGAGCCCGTATTGCAATTATCGTTTCAGCAACAGTAGGCCTAGTAAAAAAGAGGTAAAAAGCATTCAAGTTTTACAGATCTTAAGCGGTTCAGAGGCACAACCTTTTGCTACCTTTTGGAGACAATTTTTAATTTTTACTAGCTTTTATCAGGCATTGGGAGTCTAATCCCTTCTTGCAGAGGAAGGATAGCTTCAAAACACACTTCAGCAGCAAATTTGCTTCATAAAAGTTTTACTCAAGGTAGCAGTTCAGAGTTACCAGTTTTCAGCTTCAAGTGCATAGAAACTGCTACTAAAAACTTTTGCCCTTGAAATAAACTTGGAGAGGGGGGATTTGGACCTGTTTACAAGGTATCACGTGCGTGTTTTAATCATCCTTCAGCAGAAAAAACATATTTGCTTATAAGTTGAAGTCATGTGTGATTCATATATAGGGGGTATTACCAAATGGACAAGAGGTTGCTATAAAAAGACTTTCGAGGAGCTCAGGACAAGGCATAGAGGAGTTAAAAAATGAGGTTAAACTAATTTCCAGACTTCAACACAGAAACTTAGTCAAATTGATGGGCTTTTGCATTCATGGGGAGGAAAAGTTGCTCATCTATGAATACATGTCCAACAGAAGCTTAGATGTTTTCATCTTCGGTGAGCTAATTAAGAAGAG